CGCGCCTCGTTGGCTATCTATCATCTCATATCCAACGCGCGCTTGTGGAATAATTGTTAAATATTCTTCCCAAAGATTACAACATTTTTCTTTAAAAAAATCATTAAGTTATCCATTTGAAGTATGAGACTGCATGAAAATATTAGTGACAAATAAAGTGTCTCCTTTATTTTTAAAATACTAGCATTTAAAATAGTTTTTCTCAAAAATAGTTTTTGGGATATCAATTCTATTTAGAATTTAGTAATAGTAACTATATACATAATTTAGTGGATAGTTTGACGTAAAATTGAGAATTACTTTTCTATCCTTCCGACGAAGGGCGAACGCTCGAAACGTCAGCTTTTGTAATCGTTACGGTGGCCAATTTACCATCCAAAATTACTTTTCTATCAATTGAATAATGCTCTTGAACTTTAATAAACTGTGAGCATCATTTTATATAACACTAGATATTCAAATAATGAACTTTTGTAGTATAGTTTTAAAAATAGGCATTTTGAACAGATCAATTCGGTTGAAATTTTGATTACCATGGAAAGTAAATTTTATGAGTTTGAAATCCAGGTTTTGTCTGTTTATATCTTGTCCACATTCCACATTTCCTCGTTTCCAAATTTTGGAAGAGTTCGACGTGAAAATGATAAATTGATGAAACAAGGAACAAAACCTAGTGGTAAAGTTCAGCTTTCAATGTTTCTTCCAGAAATTTTCTCTGAAAACGTTTACAAAAGATAAGCCCAAAAGTACGCTTTAAACGTACTGCCGAGTCTCAAGGACTTGCCAGCGGTTTTTCCCATCCTTACGCATGCAACAAATGTGTCTCCGTTACTCTCTTAAGCGGTGACGTGATCACATCATTCCACTGTCGTACTTCAGTGCCAAACGATTCCAAACCCAGAGTAATATGACCGATCCTCTCTGTTTTTAACACTGTATCCCCTCGATGCACTTCAAAACTGATACTGGAACGTCTTAAGTCGTCTTCTTTTACATCAAAGACGAAGGCTTCATTGAAAACCGGTGAAGTAGATTTCTTCACCACTTTGGTCTTTTTGCGCTCAACAACTTTGCCCTGAACGCTGTGAAGAACTTTTACGTAGGTATCTGATAAGAAAATGTTATATTAAACTATGTTGAATCAAGATCGGGTTACTCTCGCTGGCGACAGATCTTTTCTCACCGCATCCACCACACCCGCCTCACAGCACTGCACCACACCCACCTCACAGCACTGCACCACACCCGCCTCACAGCACTGTACCACACCACACTACAACCCAACACAAAATTCCCCGGCCGCTCCACCGCACCCCACACCCCACAATCCACACCACACTACTCTACACTACACTAATTTTGAGATCAAACCATTGACTGTAAAAAAGTGGACTGTTATTGCTGATTCTCGTGTAGCTGACTACCGATCACAAAAATATAGCAGAGGTCACAAACAAGTGAATTCCGGCCTTATAGGAGAAGAATCAAACGTGCTATATCAGTTGAAAACCATTTACCACATCCTCCAGGAGCATCTGACTTGGGAAGAGGGAGTCCACTTGCTTTCAAAACGATCACATGTAAGTGATTAGCAGTAGGTTGGTGACATACTGACAGCGTTATGGTACCTCGGTCAGCTGACTGAAAATAATGACAACAACGAAAGGGAAGATGAAACATGCGCAAACAAAAATATGTATCGCCAATGTAACAAAACTGGCCTAGCAAGTGAATCGCAGGAAACTAGGATGAATTGGTTTTGTCCGTACGCTTCACTTACCTCATTGATGGTCTTGTAGTTCAGGTGGAGTGACAACGTGGTGCCTTCATCTAAATCCACTTCGAGAAGCGACAACATTACCTCAGCCACGAATTCACTCCGAGAAAACTTGTCATAGTCAAGGACAACAAACTTTAGGGTAGAACTGTCAAGGTAGAAAACGACAACAATATTTTCTGACACAAAGCGAGTATGAGGAGCGTACGGCAATAAAAAGTAGGTTAAATATCAGAGTGATTCGAAGATCTTAATGTCTTAGTGAAATCCGACGAACAAACCATAAAAGAGGGTTAAGTTCCTGACTGATATCGGCTAAGGGCAAGAACAAATATCACCAGTAATCGGCTAAAAACACCTTGATATCGAGAGGCCTGTTGCTCTACAAACTCTAGAGTCACAAGGAAATCCTTTAGAAAATTGATTTACAGGGGCCTTCTGAAGAGAGGAGAAAGTTTCTCTCTTTCATTACGTTCTGATGCGCCTGTCCTTTTTGCTCACCCCAGTTGTCACTTCCTCTGTACTGTTTCCTTTCCGTTTTGATTTTCTCAGCCACAATCTGGACTTATTTCATTTTAACTGAAAAACGTACCTTTGTGCTTCTTCCATCGTCATTTGATCAAACATGCATATTCGGTTAGTTCCGAGATTCAAGAAGTTTGACCTGGTATCCCTGTGACGCTGCCCTGCTAACAGATGTACGCGGACATACGGGGTAGAGATCCCAGAAAGTCGCACGTGAGGAAGATCAAACGCGCCATTAACCTGAAAAGATGCGGAAAATTCGGAAAGTTATTAGAAGGGTACGAGGAGCGGTTCTGAAATGTTCGAGGGAAGCAAATGTCAATCCTTTTAGAATGTGATGAAAATCTAAGGGGTTATGCGATGGATAACCGATGGATAGGCGCGATGGATGGGGAGGAGGGGGGTTACAAAACTGACATGTTAGGGGCTAAAGACATTCCAGGTTATTTTTGATATCATAATTTATCCCTTTTCCCCGATGCCAGGGGCTAGGTCCTGCAGGTACGTCCCTCACGAGCACCTTTTGGACAAAAGGAGCACCTTGTAGAACTTTTTTATTTTGAGGAGGCGTGAATGAGGAAAATAAAGTTTTAGGAAACAATAAACCGAGGTTGATCAATATTAAATATAAATTGCACGAAGAAAAAAAAGCCATAAAAGACTCTCATTGAAAAAAAATTGCTTAAAAGATTTGTGTGAAATAGTTTGTCAGAAAGTTAAACTCACCAAATCTGTTTGGAAAATCCTGCGTTGTAGTCTACAGGTAAACAATTCAACTGAACAAAACCAGCTCTAATATTGGACTTTTGGAATGAATTAGCCTCTTTTCTAACAGCTGTTCAATAGTATCAAACATACCTGCACAAAAAGCACTTTTTTAGCCGTCAGAAAATGCACGGAAACTTCCAGTTTTCCATACGGAGCAACCGAAATTTTTTTCACGGGCTCTCTCTTGGTTTGAGTTGAGTAAGGCACATACTGAGAAACAGCTCTTCTGTACTGGGGGCGGTATTCCGTCGTTGCTATTCCTACCGCTGGAGCTCCGCTGTCTTCTTGTCCTTCAGTGATTTCTTGTTTTGAATTCCGTGACTGATCTGATGGTGGTGGCATTGAAATGGCTCTTCTAAAAGCCGGAGGGGTAAACTTTCCGCCTATCTCGTCTGTTCTCGAGTCTCCTATGTCGCTCAAAGTTTCTCCATCGCTTTCATCCGCGATCAGGGTATAGGGTGGAATAACGAATTCCGGTGGTTCTTTGGGCGAAATGTAGGTTCCTATCTTTCGCGAAGCTTTCGAATCGTTTATTTTCGTCAGATATTTCCTGAAGTAAACGATTCCCACGATAGAGAGAAGAAGGATGAAAACTAAGACCCCAAGTCCGACTAATGCGGCGATGGATTGCGAAGATTCCATATTTCCCGCCTTGATGGAGGTTGACCGTTAAAATCAATGTGTCCTGCGCGCAAATTTTCAGAGTCACGCACTGCTCCTTGTTCGACGGAAAATTGCCTCAAAAATAACCATTAACAAACCAGTAGAGAAGACTCTTTAGTTTTCGAACTGTAGGCAGACGAGACCCCATGACAGCTCTATTCAAATGTTTGAATTGAAATCCCGTACAATGCTACTAGCGTGACGGCTCCTCTTCAATTTAAGACACAAATTTCAGTGGACTCTGATCTCTCCACATGCAATTTGCTCGCCAAACCAATCGGTTTTTTTTGGTAGATCCGAAGTTTCAGTTGGTTTGAAGAAGAGTTGATCTACTCAGAAAACCGTTTTTTCCTACTCAAAGTGTGTTGGCCTTCAAGTGCCCTAAGGCCAAACACGAAGTTTCATGTTCCGGTGATGTCATTTTTTCTGTGTAACGCAAACAGTCACGCAAAATATCCTTGGACTCTTACGTCAAAGTTTATGAGGAAAATATATCCTCTGCAACAATCTGATTGTAAAATGAAACAAAATAAACTAGAGAGCAGGACAATAGACATTGGATTAATGTTTTAACCGATACTGTTGACGAGGACAGCCCATCAAACGTGACTTAGATATGACAGTTGGTTTGAATATTGACCGCTTGGTTCAATATGCAACAAAGAAAACTTAGTCAATATTTAAATTCTAAAGCAACCTTTTTTTCCTCCTCATAAGTTCTCATCCTAAATGTCGTGGATGACCGCTTCCGGTTCTTTCCATTCTCCTCGCTCAATACAGGAATCAACATTTGGCGGCTTTGCGGTGCAGAAAAAAAGTTATTCGAAGTGTCAGTTGAAATTAGGCCTTGGAATTTTGTCAGGTTCTGCGATCAGTATACGTCTTCAGCAAAGTGTTTCGGAATCTTGCAATTCTTTTACCCCGGCAAGCACCTGTGGTACAAAATACAATGCCTGGGGCCTCGTTCCAGACTTTTACGCTGAGTCAGTCTTTCATCGTATCCTTTATTTTTAGACAATAGCTTTTTCTCTTCAGAGCGACTTATCATTTTCTCCAACATCTGCAAGTAAGCCCGGAAAAAAAAAACTGGGAAGTACAGCAGCAGACTGTTTCTATTTCAGATGGATATTTTCTATTTTCCGCTGAAAATTGAGACGAAGGTTCTGCTGCATTCTGAAAATAGAAAAATATGGACGAAGGTTATCTTTTGGGAATTACGTTAAATATTTGGGATGCGAATTGTTCAGGAAATGGTCTCCAAACAGAATTTTATGAGAGTGTCGGCCGGATTCGCTGCTGAACATTTCCAGTTGTCTCGATCCGCAGTCTTCCTTCTTCACGAATTTACCATTAATCATTAATAATTCTAATTCTGACGACTAAAACCCACCTGTCAAATCCGGCTGCGGGATTGAAAGAAACAAACTGGGTGCATAAAAACATTCTAAGAACGTTACAGACTTGAAAAGGAGTGTACGTTCTCTCCATATCACGAATATGATGTTTTCAGTAATAATATCAACATGTTTTTGTAAGGATTTAAAGCCGACAGATGTTCCTAATTGTTCGCACCCAGCTTTGGTATCTCCAACAGATGGTAATTTAGGGGCGGGACGCAGACTTCAGGGATAAAACGAAGTAAAAAAAAGAAATAGTTCATGGCCAGACACTCGTGAAGTAATTGTTAAGACTGACGTTGAGACAGTGTTTGGCAAAAACCAGATAAGTTGTAGGATAGTCCACTTGATTCAGTCCCAATCCCCCTCCTCACAAACAACCTCTCTTCTCTTCCTCATTTGCATCTCAATTCATCCTTAATTTGTCTTTTTCAGATGTACATTTCATTCAGTCAGTTTAACTTAACGCATCAAACGCTGCATCAGTATGAAAACACCTCGCCTACACCAAAAAGCCGCTGTGAAATTAAAAGCTTCATGACGCATATCAATTTCTCAGATTACTTGTAATCGGAGCGCATTGATGCTCAAACGGAAATAGTTCGGAGAACACTCGATCAGTCACGTAATGATAAAAATAATGACCAACTGGGAATGTCGATCTTAGAGATTGCTAATTAGAGAGAATTGATGTCCATGTACACAAATCACGAATCCTTAACATCAATTTTGCTGCCCAAGGGCTACGATGTTAACATCACTTTGTTAGTGGGAAATTCCGATCCGTCGTGGATAAGGTCTGAACTTCTTGACAAAGTACTGAAGCGCGAAAATTTGCACTAAAGGTCATTGTCGTCGACAAGCACTTCAGGAAGAATTCGAGCATCCTACGTGGAGACGGCCGATGCGCTAACCGTTTTGTAGTTATGCCATTTGAAAGAGATCAGCCTCACAGTTTCTAAATGGCATCGACAATTATATTATGACGATGTCAGGTAAGAGAGGTACCCTGTAAATTTAGTCAGCTGTAGGACCAAGTCGGTAACTCTAAGCTGCGTGGTATTTCGGTCATCTTAAGCCTTGATTTTCTTCTTTCTGTCGTTCTGTTCTGTTAAAATTTGAAATGTGCTATGCACAACGAGTTGAAAAAAGATTTGTTTTGCCGTCTATCGTAGACGCCGAGAAAATGAAAGGCTTTGATAACCTTATGGTAGGAAAAATTTTGAAAAATATATCCAGTGTTTATTGAGGAAAGCCTTCACACCGATCAGAAAGACAAGGAACAAAATAAGATTATCGAAGAACCTTCTTTTTTGAAAAAGAAATTAGCTGAGTAATACTGAAGTACTGTTTGAGTAAAATACAGTGACGTCACGCGTGTAACCTTCATTACTGGGCATACTCCACATTTCGTAAAGTTCTCGTCAAAATTCTAGTTTAACAAAATTATTATCTCAATAAACAGCTGTACAACATATAAATCACGGGTTAACTTGGGTGATTGGGGCGAGTTTATAGCAAAGAAACTTGCCACAAAATACGATGATCTGGAAAGGTCATGAACAATCCATATTAATAAATGTTAGCAGGAAAAGTTTCAGTTGACTTAAGAGTCAAACTTGGCGAGCGAGCAGTAAAAATTTCTCTTTCTCACTAATTCCTTTTCAAAATAACTCTTGCATTTGCATTACGAGGAAGTAACCAGCACGCCGTCTACTGTTTAACAGTTTAAGCAAACACCATCGGCTCTCACGTTTCTTCAGTTAACATGTTTTAACGTGTGAACTTGTTTCAGCGCTTCAAGAACTATCGGGTTCTTCCAAACCACTAAACACGCGGAAACGTGTGCAATTTTCCCGATAGTTACGAGTAATTAGTCTCTAAATAACCTGTTATAACAAAACATACTTAATTAACTAATTACTGTGCAAACTGCCAACTTTTCGCTTCAGTTGCTCTCCCAAATAAAAACATAACATGGATGACCTCTTAGTCTAGAGAAATGTCAATTACTTTAAATAAAATTAATCCATAACTTCAGTTTTCTTCCATGTTGGTTAGCACCGGAGTTTTCAGCGATTCTTTTGCGTTATACTAGTAAGTCTGATTTATTCATCTCTTACTCTATACATGATTTTATTTGTATTTGTCACACAAACATTTAACAGCAAACTAACGAATGATCTATGAGCATAATTCTCTTGTGTCGGGGGCTTGTCACCACGTATACTGAAGCAATTTCCGAAAAAATGTCTAAAAAGCTGAAACATCAACGTAAACATTTCCGAGCAATCGAGCCAACTGTTGTTATAGCAGCCTTTCATATCACCAGTTAGCTATCTAGCCCTCGTTTCAGCAAATACGACGAGAAATGGATCGATTTATACTGATACGACAAGGAAAAACTTTTGACTTGCAGTTGCCTTATATGCAGCACTTTGTCCGCTTAAGCTCTTTGATTATAAACTCCATTTTTTCTCATGCCTACAGGAACTTTAGAATATCTCTTGCCTGTTAGTGTGGGAGCGGCGACTCTTTCAGTCTTCATAGCCTTCCTTGTCATCAGATGTTATTTACAATGGAAGAGGCAACACAGGAAAGAACAGCTTATGGCAGAGGGAGCCGTACCCAAGCTGGTACTGTCCTCCCAACCCGTTGATTTTCTTGTCCCGCTTTTGATTCAAGACAGATTGGAGGAAGAGGAAGAAGTTGATCAGTTTAAAACTCACTCTTCTGTTAGTGGTGCATCGAGTGAGGATATCAGTCATGAGGCCGAATTAAAGAATCAAACCGCTGGTGAGGCATTATTATTTGTTTTCACTTTCAAGATCGAAAAGTTAATTCTCTTAAATAATACCACACATTTCTTTGTTGGCTAGTGCAGATGATCTGGTGTTATATCGTAAGGCTGAGGCCCTAGTTAGCAATCATCAGCAATATTCTCATTACATGCCTGCTTCGTAGTGTTCTTATTTTCAAGGACAGATTATCAAGAGATCACTAATAGTTTATCCATTTCTAAATATCCAATATAAAAGATTGGTGTTACATGTTCTTTAATTAGCAATCCGTGTTAAATTTTCTATCCTTTACCTTCGTCGTCCCGTTTGACTTATTTCAAATTCTTCAGTGGCTGTTTCCATAAAAGGAAATTATATGAATTGCCATCTATTCCTCGAAGCTGATTTTTGTTCATGTCACGAACATGACACATGTCACCCTAAAGGGCAGCGTCGCGTGACAACGCAGAGGGGATACCAAATTGATATCTAACAAATGATTATTCCAAGGCTTTTTTATCTATTCTTTTCCCACTGAAATGTTATTTTCTTTGTAAGAATATCGACGGGTGAGTGAGGTCCTTCAAGGGAATTATTGATTTGGGTGGATTTATTTTTCTCGCTTCCCATAATTACACTCTGATAAAATATTTTCAACTCAAATTGAACTTCTACATCACTGAGGTTGGCAGACAAAAGACCGTTTTTGAAAAAACAAAACCAAAAAAGCAAAATGAACAGCGTTACATAAACCGCATCGCAAATGAAACCAATGTAAAGTAAGAAATTTTACGATGAGACCTATCTTTTCTACATTATTTTCAGAGTATCTTTTATAGGTACACAGAGCTTGAATATCTGACATTTCCATTCATAAGTTCTGTTTGAGAGATAAGAGTCTTTGCATTTATATCCTCCTTTAGAACGCAAAGTTCATCCTTCGCTTTCAAGATTGGACTCTGAGGCCAGTGTTGTGAAAACATATGGTCAGCAGGTTAACTTGCGCAGTCATGTACCACCCAACACTAGGAGGGGAGAATCATTGTTCTTCGACGATGGCGCCGAGAGTTTTCATTCAAGTGGTAAGAAACCCAAAGCTACAAAAACGATTATTATTCTACCTGTTTCAAAATACCTTACATTTCTGATTTACTTTTTCTTTGCAAGAAGAGGATGACCTCCTTTATTTATATCAAAGTGATGAACATGTAACTTCTCCCTTAGATATCTATACTTTAACCAGCAAACAGGTAATGAGAGTACTCAAACTTATCAGGTGGAAGTTGTTTTCTTGATCTAACAACAAATTCTAACAAGGAAATATGAAGCGGTTAGATGAGAGAATTGACAATCCGATAATGGGAGTTAATAATAATAATAATAATTTACCAATTTACATAGCGCGTATTTACATATGCTGATCAATAGCGCTTTACAATCATATGTTTAAGAGAAAGCGAAAATACATTACTGTGAGAATAAAATGAACTAGGTTACAGACTATAAAAATACTTCTTAAAAAGATAGGTTTTAAGTCGAGATTTAAAACTGGTAAGTGATGTTACTTGACGAAGCTCCATAGGTAGGCCATTCCAGAGTTTCGGAGCTGCTGCTGAGAATGATCTTGCTCCCAATGTTGTAAGCATCTTTCCCTTGGGATTGTCCAATAAGAGCTTACCAGTAGGCCTAAGATTGTATAATGAATTCGATTTTATACTAATAAGATCACTAAGATAAGTTGGCGCTAGGCCATAAATACATTTAAAAGTCAAAAGTAAAATCTTATATTCAATACGTAAAGAAACCGGCCGCCAGTGTAGCTCAAAAAGCGCCGTTGTAATGTGAGAAAATTTTCCGATGCTAAGAATAAGTCTTGCCGCTGCATTTTGAACACGCTCTAATTTAGCGATCTGCACCTTTGGTAAGCCAAACAATAAACCATTACAATAATCAAGGCAGCTGGTTAAGCATGAACCAAAGTAATTAAAGAATCTCTCGAAAGGTATTTCTTAATACGTCTCAAGTTATGTTGAGTCAAAGGGTTAACAATTTTCGTTGGGCTGTTTTTTTCTGCTTGAAAATCAATCTCGTATTCCCTCACTCAACCAGCAACTTGGGTTATTTGGTGAGAGAGAGAGAGAGAGAGAGAGAGAGAGAGAGAGAGGAAAAGCCTCCCTCACTAGAAGGGTGGTTCGAGGAAAAAGCTATCCTCACTAGAGGGGTAGTGCGAGGAAAAAGTTACCCTCACAGTAGGGGTAATTCGAGGAATGCAGTGACACGTTCTTAAGTTTTCCTTCCACAGATGAGTCGTTGCTGCCGAGGTGTTTCTCTACCGGTCCTCAACCCAGGCCTCTTCGAAGAAGATCCCGCGGAAATAGTCTCACAAGTTTATCTCTAGAATCGCTTTCAGAGGAGTCAACACTTCCAGATCACACTTTGCACATGATCAAATCAAAGGTGTCTTCTATAGATCGTAACGCGCCAAATTCAAAGCTGACAAAGCAGAGGAAACAGAGCGCTTACACCGGCACCAGGCGATCTAGGAAAATTTCACAAGTATCGCGAAAACGCGGAGAGATCACCTTAAAACTGACTTTTTCTGGAGATCGTCGCACCCTTGAGGTTCACTTAATCAACGCCACAGAGCTACCACTCAGACATGGCCGCATGTTGGACGTCTTTGCGCGGCTTTCACTCAAGACGCCTTCAAAACGCCGCGGCGAACGGTTTCAAAGCAGATTAGTTAAGAAGACCTGTAACCCAGTGTTCGATGAACGATTCGTCTTCAAAAATCTTCATTTAACCGAGTTTAAAAAGGGACNTGACGAAGCTCCATAGGTAGGCCATTCCAGAGTTTCGGAGCTGCTGCTGAGAATGATCTTGCTCCCAATGTTGTAAGCATCTTTCCCTTGGGATTGTCCAATAAGAGCTTACCAGTAGGCCTAAGATTGTATAATGAATTCGATTTTATACTAATAAGATCACTAAGATAAGTTGGCGCTAGGCCATAAATACATTTAAAAGTCAAAAGTAAAATCTTATATTCAATACGTAAAGAAACCGGCCGCCAGTGTAGCTCAAAAAGCGCCGTTGTAATGTGAGAAAATTTTCCGATGCTAAGAATAAGTCTTGCCGCTGCATTTTGAACACGCTCTAATTTAGCGATCTGCACCTTTGGTAAGCCAAACAATAAACCATTACAATAATCAAGGCAGCTGGTTAAGCATGAACCAAAGTAATTAAAGAATCTCTCGAAAGGTATTTCTTAATACGTCTCAAGTTATGTTGAGTCAAAGGGTTAACAATTTTCGTTGGGCTGTTTTTTTCTGCTTGAAAATCAATCTCGTATTCCCTCACTCAACCAGCAACTTGGGTTATTTGGTGAGAGAGAGAGAGAGAGAGAGAGAGAGAGAGAGAGAGAGAGAGAGAGAGAGGAAAAGCCTCCCTCACTAGAAGGGTGGTTCGAGGAAAAAGCTATCCTCACTAGAGGGGTAGTGCGAGGAAAAAGTTACCCTCACAGTAGGGGTAATTCGAGGAATGCAGTGACACGTTCTTAAGTTTTCCTTCCACAGATGAGTCGTTGCTGCCGAGGTGTTTCTCTACCGGTCCTCAACCCAGGCCTCTTCGAAGAAGATCCCGCGGAAATAGTCTCACAAGTTTATCTCTAGAATCGCTTTCAGAGGAGTCAACACTTCCAGATCACACTTTGCACATGATCAAATCAAAGGTGTCTTCTATAGATCGTAACGCGCCAAATTCAAAGCTGACAAAGCAGAGGAAACAGAGCGCTTACACCGGCACCAGGCGATCTAGGAAAATTTCACAAGTATCGCGAAAACGCGGAGAGATCACCTTAAAACTGACTTTTTCTGGAGATCGTCGCACCCTTGAGGTTCACTTAATCAACGCCACAGAGCTACCACTCAGACATGGCCGCATGTTGGACGTCTTTGCGCGGCTTTCACTCAAGACGCCTTCAAAACGCCGCGGCGAACGGTTTCAAAGCAGATTAGTTAAGAAGACCTGTAACCCAGTGTTCGATGAACGATTCGTCTTCAAAAATCTTCATTTAACCGAGTTTAAAAAGGGACGTTTGAAGATCAGGCTCTTTGATCGCCATGGCGTCTCGAGATACGAACTGATCGGAGAAACAGTGTTTTCTTTATGCGACGAAAGTATCTTGCGCGGGGACAAATTGTGTCGAGAGCTGTCGCCACAGGTAAGCTGGGTCCCCAAGGTCTGCTAAGACTCATTATTCTTGGTATGTATCGAGAGCAATAATTAGTTGCGTAATCATACTTGGAAGCAGTAGATTGTAAGAATCAAATTAAGCCACAAGAGAGCGCTGTTATGTATCTGAGAAGCAACTTGAAAGAAGAACGACAGAGAAAGTCAATCATAGCCTGCTCATTTTTAGCAACGCGAACATGTTGATAATTCACTGGATTTGCCATATCACTCACAGTCAAGGACCTATCCACATCGGTTAACTCAAGGATACAGGTGTGTGTTCGTTGTAGAGAGGTGGCCGTTATAGAGAGCAAGGGAGGTGGCCGTTATAGAGAGCAAGGGAGGTGGCCGTTATAGAGAGCAAGGGAGGTGGCCGTTATAGAGAGCAAGGGAGGTGGCCGTTATAGAGAGCAAGGGAGGTGGCCGTTATAGAGAGCAAGGGAGGTGGCCGTTATAGAGAGCAAGGGAGGTGGCCGTTATAGAGAGCAAGGGAGGTGGCCGTTATAGAGAGCAAGGGAGGTGGCCGTTATAGAGAGCAAGGGAGGTGGCCGTTATAGAGAGCAAGGGAGGTGGCCGTTATAGAGAGCAAGGGAGGTGGCCGTTATAGAGAGCAAGGGAGGTGGCCGTTATAGAGAGCAAGGGAGGTGGCCGTTATAGAGAGCAAGGGAGGTGGCCGTTATAGAGAGCAAGGGAGGTGGCCGTTATAGAGAGCAAGGGAGGTGGCCGTTATAGAGAGCAAGGGAGGTGGCCGTTACCATCGACCTCGACCTCCCGCACAACAGTCCAGCGCTCTAACCAATTGAGCTAACCGGGAGGCGGTTATAAACGATAAACGATTTCATCGACCTCGACCTCCCGCACAACAGTCCAGCGCTCTAACCAATTGAGCTAACCGGGAGGCGGTTATAAACTATAAACGATTTCTTTTCCGACTAGATTCAAAGGTAACCTGAATAAGATAAATCATGATTAATTTAAAATGGATAACTTTATAGGAATACTCCGAAATCACTTTTGCTACAAAATTTAGTCTAGTAACTTAAACGTGATAACAATATTATCATGTTTTCACATATGACAGAAGGGCCAACCAAGGCTGTACTTCATTGATTTCAGTTTGTTTTCTGTTTCTTGAAGGTCCTTTCGTCGCTGTGGAACTCACATACAATTGCAAGGAGGAAGTCATTCAAAAACATCAGACCAAAGCTAGGAAGAAAGATCTAACCATTAACGAGGAATTCAGTTTTGAAGTTGCTACTAACAGCTCTTGCACACTTGAAAACTTTGGTGTTCAGTTCACTGTTTTTCAGCACGATTTTGTACACGGGAACGAGGTCATTGGTCACGTGCGGCTGGGTAAAGACGCGCCTTTTCCTTCTGAGATAAACCACTGGAAAGCGGTTACGCGATCTCCTCATAAACTCCTACAAGATTGGCATAAGCTTCATGGACCTCTATAAATGTTAACTTGCTTAAGAATATTCGTAATACTATATAATGAAAAAAACCTTTGCATCAGGGCCGTATCCAGGAATTTTTAAGAAGGTCTCAATAGGTAACGATTAAAAGTACGGCCATTTAATGGCTAACAGTTTAATATTTCTTTACATTAGGATTAAAAGAACAATTTTTTACGGTTAACTTTACTTACGACTTATGTATAAAATATGTCAATTTTTACGCCTACCGGGTAAATTATTTTACCGCTAACCAATGAGACATGGGGGGGGGGGGGAGGGGGGCACAAAACTTTGATTCAGAAAACACAAATCTTATTTCGTTGCAAGTCACTTCCCAACCAACTCACTCCCAGCCCCTTATCCCTTCCCCTCCTCCCGTTCAATAGCCGCTAAACTTAACATGTCATTATCAAATAAATCAGCTAGTTGCGAAGTGTTACGCCGGATCTTGTCTCTGCTAATGGAGATGGGATGTGCCGGGATAGGACAAGGGGGGGGGGCGCGGAGGTCCGAACCCCTCACACCCTCCCTGTGGATTGGCCAATGTATATGGTTGACAAGATTACTAGGAGCCTGATTAGTTCTTCTTGTGACCCGCAGAGTATCATGAAAACTGTCACGATCGGTCAAGCGCAGAGTGGTTAAAAATCCTCACTAGTAGGAGGGTAACCAGTAAGCTACGTACAAAGTGCAGCCGAGGTGTTCAACTCGGTGGAGAGCTTGAATAATCTGCAGGCCAGAATTTAGAGGGGAAAAGGGTGAAGCAAAAGAAAGCGAAACAACAAAAGTATATGTACAAAGAGAGCGGTATGGAAAACATTTTTTATATGTATTAAATAAAAATTCGTCAACAACACATGTCGTTTATACGATATCTACAGAGCTGGAAAAATGAGCCGACTTGTTCTGAAGGTACGGATTCCTGTGGGATATTTCAGTTATTAAGGAAACAGTGATGGAATCGAGCCTCCAAACAGTTCCGTTTTTCGTCCTTCATTTTAAGCGGCTCGATTGAGGAAGTTAAAGTATTTATTATTTTCAATGTTTTAATTTACCAAAATGCGGAGAGCATAGCCACAATAGCCCATAAAAAGAACCTAGACACTTTTTAAAAGCAACCATGCTTAATTTATTTATTAAGATTGCCTTTAATCTTGTTGCCTAAGTCCTGACACGCAAATAGAAAGCATTGAGAAAAAAAATGTGTAAAAGACAACCAATACATAAGTTTTACCACTTATAAAAAGCGAGAGAACACATTGTTACCAAACACGAATCTTATATTTCTGATATCTATTAATTAATTACTCTAATGAAGGAACCCTCTTCGAAAACGATAAGATTGGGACAATATGAATAGCAGATCTTTCAAATTATCTTTCGGTTTAATTGATTTCCTGAGAAATATTTTATTGTACTCCGCCCCTCTTTATACTCTCGCACAAACAGTCTGAATTTTGTGAAGTGAAGTTGGATTGAAACGGAAATTAAACAGAACTATTTTGCCAAATAGTTGCCCAAATTTAAAAAAATCAAAATTCGTTTTACCTACTTTTTTAACGATGCCACAAATATTTTTCGCTTCAAAATATTTCTCATTAACATATGAGTCTAATGTTACGTTCATCTGAAAACCTCATCAGTTTTAAATATTAAAATAGTTCGGCACGGTCCAAATGTACTTAAGCAGAGGTTGAACCTGCATGTTTCAAAGGAGAAAGTGTTTCATTGACGTCGAGCGGCACTTGGTTGGGTTACAAAAAAATATATCTGTTATTGATTAAACTTTGAAAACGAATGTTTTAAAACACATTTCTCGACATTCAATAAGCTGTAAAAGAAAAATAGAAGTTGCACCAAAAACAATTAGGCCGAATGAAAAAACTGAATAATCTATTAAAATCTCTCGCCCACGGACAAAAATAAAACCCAATGTTTTCTCCATTGAAGCTGACAAAGGTTAATTCAGTATTCAAAAAATTTAATTTCAAATGCTCTTCCAATTTAGAACGCGACTCTCCAAATTGGGCGGTTGTATCAGGAGTTGACCAAGATATGAAATAAAGGATAAAAAAATACGATCTGCTCATCTGAAATCGTTTAAAAATTTAACTCTGATTCGTCTTCAAGACTAGGGCAGATCTAATGACAGTGTTTACAGTTCTTGTATCGTCAGAGTAATTTATGAAGCGGGAAATTCTATTTTACCAAGCCATTTCCATATGTAAATGTTTCAGTTTCATTTCAGTTGTACATACATTTCTTCGCAGCAAGAACTGCTCGTAAACTGGCTTTAAAAAAATCCTTTCGAAATTCATAAAACCATACTCACCGACAAGTCATAAAAATTTAATCAGGAAAAAAACTCGTTTTACTATCGATACAAACTTCATCAATTTTAAATGCGGAATTTATCGTGAAATCTATCGGCCAGCCAAACAGATTTTCCCCTGTGCTAATGTTGTGGCGTTTGCCGTCTTCTGTACGCCTCACACACATTAATAGCGTAGTATTTCTCCAATTGTTTCACGAGTATGTTTTTATTCATTCGCAGAAAACAATGGCTTGAAATTTCCCGAGGTTCAGTGAAGCACTAAGAGCAGGTGCAATCGTAGAATCACGTCGATCCTTTCTTCAGCATGACAATACAATCGTAGCTCGTAAGGATAAACTCCGTTGACGGAGAAAGCTGCCTTGCATGAAGAAAGCGGTTAACTCAGTGATAGCATTCTTGAAAAAGAAAAGAGAAGATTTTTCGCTATTACGGGACTCACCGCCTGTCGATGCTGGTGTAAGCTTTGATCCAGCTGAAGCCGAAAAGGAAGATGAGTTTGCAGTTAGCAGGTCATGCCGACGATGTGTTATGGTTTACGAAAACAAAACATGGAACAAATGGACGTTGCAACGTTTATCACAACAGTGCAACAACGCTTTCGATGAGGACACAGCGGCACTTGTTCCAGCCGTGGAAAACGCTGACCGATCTTTCGATCCTTTTCACGGAAATTCTTTGCGAAGCTATACTCCTGTAAACCGCAACCGAATTTTAATGGCGCAGACCTTGATTTCTGACCATGTTATGCAACGTACAAGCGACAGCGGCAGAAAAAAATTGGAACCTCATTGTCCGGTCTTCATATGGTTACGAAACTGCGAAAGATCGAAGGCCTTTCGAAATATCTATCAAGATGGAGATACTACTTTGATAAAAGTGCGATTAGATATGGTATCATTTGCTGGTTTTCCACGTCCAAGTTCGGAGATTTCCAAGGTAACAACTTTGGAAGTTTGGGTTCTAGCCCAGAAATTTCCCAAGCCGATAATTACTCTAGAAATCGATGAAGAGTTAATCATTGGGTATATAGCTGATCTTTTCGAAGTAGCCTTCTTCAATATCCCACTTTCCGTCAAAGAAAGGCAAACTAAGATTGAAGGAATTTTCCGTGCAATTGACGAGATTCTCGACATCAGCGCTCATGTTATGATGGCCAGCGGTGAATCCTCTGAGAATGCAGCAACCGTAAAGGAAGTCATCACTGAGACAGCCATCGTGGTTACGTCAACTGCCGCCGAAAGCACGGCGACTGTTGGCATAGAAACGGCTGCGATGGCCCTAGGACAAGCTGCGGCGGGTATAGCAATATCCGTTTTGGTCGACATCGCTCTAACCGCTGGAAGTGTCACGCGTTCGAAAATGCAGCGTGATAAAGGTTTGATAACAAACTCACAGTTTAAGTCCACTGTAAGACGGAAGTTATGTGATTCAGGATGCCAGTTTATTGGAGGAACTACTGGAACCATTGTGGGGCAGGTGCTCATTCCGGTGCCTGTAGTAGGGGCCATGGTCGGTGGTTTCTTTGGGAGCTTAATTGGGGTTGGAGTCAGTAAAGGAATTATAAAGACCTCAGAACTCATTGCTAAGGCTCATAATTCCAGAGCTAAAGCTATCACCGACTAACAGAGCAGTCTTCGATTAAGTGTCGAAAAGCCAAAACCAAAGCAATCCCATCGACCAATCAGAACACAGATTTTAATTAGCATTAGCCAATGAAGACTCAAAGTGAAAAAGTTGAAAGGATGGCGTGAGTTTTCTGGACCAATCACAGAGAAATGTTAAGCAAAAACCGAAGCAATCTTGAATATTTTCGACACTCAACGGCAAATTAGTAGTATAGAAATGGAGGTACCTAGGACAAAAATTTTGTCGCTATTTTTATTTATTGATTTTTAATGCTATCACTTTGGTAGGACAAAAATTTTGTCTCTATTTTTATTTATTGATTTTTAACGCTAACCGCCTCCCGGTTAGCTCAATGGATAGAGCGCTGGACTATTGTGCGGGAGGTCGAGGGTTCGAGCCCCGGCCGGACCAACACTCAGGGTCTTAAGACAATTGAGAAGAATATGCTACCTTTCTATAACATCAAGAAATGATTAGATATTCTAGTCTTCTCGGATAGGGACGAATAAATGGAGGTCCCGTCTCCTGCAGGGTTTGGGGTAGGAGACGTTAATTTCCCACGCACGAGATTACTGTGTGATGGGTGTCCTCCCCTGGGGTGGGATGGGTGGGTAACAGGACCCCCGTTGATACAAGTGTTTACTACATTGAAGGGGCTATCCTGTATAAATAGAGATGTCTTCTTCTACTTCTATCAATTTACTAGGACAAAAATTTTATCTGGTTTTTAATTTAGATATATTTTTAAAACATTTTTGTCCAAGCAAAATTGATAGCATTAAAAATCAATAAATAAAAAACAAGACAAAATTTTTGTCCTAGGTACCTCCATTTCTATACTACTCAAATTGCTTTAAGTATGAACGCTAAGAGGTCGTGGCTGAGGAAACATGTTTGCTTTTACACTGACAACAGTCCTGGTCACACGGGCTGCCTTTAGACTGTGCTCGAGTATTTATTATCGACAAGCTTGTGCAAACAACGCTTTATCTTGTTGGCTTTTAAGAGGTTTGACAGGAGACAAATATAGAACTAGTTATAATTTTTCTAAAAATAAAACGCTCTAAATGAATACGAAACAAATATTAATGCCATGTAACTAGCTGTAATAAAAATGTAAACATGTTTTACTATTTTTCAGTTTGTTTATAACATTACTCTGCAAGAGGACAGAGACGAGTTAAAAAAAGCAAAATTTTGAACGCGCCTTCATGAACGCAGCGAGAAAGTCGTGGGTTTAATGATAACCAGGTGGACAAAGAGAAAGCGTAACAAAAAGTCTTTGACCGACATCTGGTAGTACACCATGAACAAAGCACATGAACAAAGTGAACAAAGCACATCTTTCTTTTTATAAACCAAACACAACCCACAATTTCCCTGTTCGCTCTGATGAAGGGCTAAACCCCCAAAACGTCAGCTTTTGAAACTCTTTAAGAAGGCTAATTTACATTAGAAACTCAGTTGATAAAACCAAATTATCTTCAAAACACATGAACGGTCAGATTGACAGAACTGTTTCCGCGAAGAAAATGAGTTGGTACTCAGAAGTTTCCTCGTGTCTTTCTCGCCTTAGCTTGGACGCTTTTTGTATATCCAGACCTGAAGCTCTACGATAGCCACTATCCGAAACCTAAAAAGAGTCAATTCAATTGGCCCAGGAATCCGTGTATGAACGAGAGTGTGAAGTGTGTTTAACCCCGTGAATTCATCAAGAAACGGAAACAATCGCCCATTCAGATACAAACTCGTGAAAGGAAAAACCTGAGCTAAATGCTCAGTCACGAGTTTCCCCTTGTACCGTGCTCTTTTCTTAGTTCTTGTCATCTTTCCTCTTCATTCAATCCACTCATTTTCTTTTTGTGATTTCGTTCTTGCCTCTTACTGAAAAAGGATTTCAAGGAGAAAAAGTAAAATGCAAATACAATTTTCACGCTGTATTTTCACACAATTCCCCTCGGGAGACAACATAAACTGACAATTTGATGCAAAGTTATGTTTCACTTCTAACTTGCAAGATTGATCACTTACGCTCTTAACATGATTTCATCTTCATTTTCCTTACTGAAATGTACCACAGCACCATGGTCCAACTGTATTTTACACAACGCTCTCAAAGGTCGAATTAACGCCTAAGGAAAAAAAAAAAAACAACACAGAAATCGTTGTTTACAATGGTCAGTTCAGTGGATCTTACAGAGTTTACTTTGCAAACTAAACACGTGCAAAGCAGTAGTTGGTAAAATAAAAACATAGGATTAAATTTTTGAACTCGGACATGAACTGAAGAGAGATTTTTTTTTTCGTCTTGTCACGAGCGTGGGACAGAGAAAAATTCTGAGTCCGTGTTGGGAATCGAACCTCAGACCTTCGGATTCCGCGATCCGATGCTCTACTAAGGAGACACAAGTCACGAGTAGGTTCAGAGCTGAAGTTGTTGGACCCATTTTTGAATTTAATATCAATTTGCTGAAGAGTGGACTAATCTTAACCCTTTCCACCCTAGCTAGCATCAGTATGCAAATTCTCCATACTATTCTCAATCCATTTCCTGATGCGCTAATGAGGAGAATTTGTTTAACAATTATGAACTCCTTTAGTTGGTGATCATTTTTTTAGTGTCTTTATTTGAAGGTGCTAGGGGTCAAAGGGTTAAATGCTCCATGGCTGACAACATGCCCTGTTGTCTTTAGCTTAAAGTACATTGTTTCCTTAGATACAGATTTAGAATAAGATAGAAAAAGGTCAAAGATCCAAAAGTACTGTAAACCCTCTAATACCTCCCCCACCCCTCTCCCTCGAAAAAACAAAAATTCAAAATAACACTCCATGTCAGTAAGTATGATAAATTTAGTCAGGTACTGTAAATTTTGGTTTGTCGTTAAAAATTGACTATGGCGATTGATTAATCGATGTTATCATGTTGGTATTATTAGAATATGGTATACAGAAATTACAGAGCAATACTAAAAATAGAACATGGCTAAACAAGGTCAATTGAGAGAGTTTGATCAGAAAATTGAGTTTTTTATTGAGTTCTAAGCCACCCCCCCAAAGAACCTGAAATTAATAAGCCCTCCCAGGGGGGCTTATTACAGGATTTATGATATTCTAACCATGCATCACCACTTACGTACTTCACCTTAACTGCCACCCAACCCCTCTCCCCCACCCCTCTCCCCCACTCCTTCCAGAAGAAGAAAAGAAAAACAGTGGACATCATAGAACAGGTCAAGTCCTTTTGTCATAAAACAATCAAGTCATGAAAAAATCAGAGCTCACCTCTGCAATTTCCTCGTTTTTCTCCAGAATTGATAATGACAAAGCAATGGCTTCAACTGTACATAAACTTTTACTGTTAGGCTGGGTTCTGATCACATATTCACTGATGTGATTATGTTCTAATTGTACCTTGAATCAATTTGGATACATAAAAAATAAACAACACATTTGAAGTATTTTAATTTATGATATCAAAATTCAAATTGCAAAGTGACCTTTGAAAACCTACCTGTCTAGCTTGACATAAAAATGGATTGTTATGAAAAATATCCTTGGCTTGTCTCCATGTCCCATCAAGGACAATAATATCATACTTTTCTCCTAAGGGAGAGTCACTCAGTGTGTTTATATTTTCAGCTGTAAATAAAGAGATGTGGTCAGTTTGATGAAAATTCCAAATGATAATGTCAACTAGCTCTATGATACCAAGATAAAAGGGTGCTAGGTATCCCATACAGTTATTCAATGCCCATTCATTCTCCTGATTGGAAAGAAGTACTGTAAGGGTACAGTGTCTTGTCTAACAACACAATACAAAAACTCTGTACTTGGTGCAAACTTTGATCTCTTGATCTGCAGTCAAAGGCCCCTACATCCAACACAGGAGAGAAATACAACAAAGCAATTCACCCTTTCACTCTCATGACTAACCAAAAAAAGATTTCTTATAACAGTATCACTACAAGATCAAGTAGAAAGGTAATGAGAAGAAAATGAAACATCAATACAGGGATAAGGTTTGATTTGACCTCTAGATGTTTATCCTGGGTGCAAAAGGGTTAATAAACAATATTCTTCCAACCTGTAGGTCCTGGATATAAAAGCAGCGTAGTTGGCTTGTTGAGTATTTCATGAAGATCTGGCCAGTCATGCTTGTGGAATCTTCTCCCTCGTCGGATGATGATTTTATTTGGAGGTAAACAGGCCTCCAGGAGGGGGACAGTTGTCAAAAGCCTAGATTCCTAGAAAAAAAAGGAATGTCCTTCATTCAATGATCAAAGCAGCACGTCCAGAAAACATTTACATGTGGAGTATCATTCTTGACATCTCCTTCCCCTGTAATTCTGTTGAAGAACATTCTGATGTTTTGCTTTCAATCATATATGCACAAGGCCTGTGCTATAGAGTTATAATGAATGACTATGAATATATGAAAATCATATGTATGACCTGCAGTTTGAGAAATGAAGATGAAAACAATCTTTGCAGTTGTGAGCACTACTTAAGCAGTAGTGAGAATAAAGCCTGAAATTTGGATTTGAACCCCATGACCTCTGTGATACTGGTGCATTACTCTACCAACTGAGCTAACAAGTCAAATAGGAGCTGGTCATTATGTTGGTTCATAATAAAGCTGTGAAGTGGTGAATCATTGACTGTAGATATATGAAAATCATACTTGTACAGTATGTGTGAACTGCAGTTATTATGAGTTACAATATTCATCAAGGTGATGACAAAAATAGTGATGTGGATGGTAAATGAAATTCAAATAACATCATTGTGGAATATTGAGTAATAGTAACATTGTGACAATAACACTCCCTGTAATGATGATGACAATGATGATGATGATGACAATGATGATGATGAGGGTGGCAATTTTTAAACTGCATCACATGTGGAGGTAGTTTTTGCAAGAATTCATAGTTTCTCAATTGTTAGGGAGCCTATATATTTCTGAGGGTTTCAATAATTTTGTTGTTTGAATGGCTATCGATTGTGGAATAAGCAGCAATCAATCAATCAATCAATAATCTTTATTTATACACGATAAGTATTTAAAGCGACACTTCGCTTGTGGGGTCGTGTCTAAATAATTAAGTAAGATAAGTAATGAATTAGAGAATAAATAGGATATACCCAGCTAAAATCATATCTCTACGTACTATTTACAAGTCTAAAATGATAAAAACTTAAAATTCTAAAAAGCAAGGTGGTACGATAATATCGTCTAATTATTAACACCAATTATACTTAAAGTCTTCCTCCCTTCTGGTTGATGTTTGAGGGGAGATACAGTCGAAATCAAGGTGTAGCAAAGCCTTAGATCGTCTTGCTATAATCGCATAGTGCTTCACATTGTCTATATCGTCATTAAGTTGAGGAACCAACGTGTTCCAAACTATTGCTCTTCTACGAGCTACAGAGTTCCTCATGTAGTAGGTGTTAAAACGAGGGAAATCAATTTTCAGTTTCTTCCTAAGTTGATATCGCTTGATGTTATCATTGTTCTTAATAATAGCTGATATAGCATCTGGAGTCAGGTTATTATGGATTTTATAGATAAGCTTAGCTAAGCTAATTTTATACATAAAGGCTAAAAGGGACCAATTAGCCTTTTTCATAACATCAGCATTAGACATCTCCCAAGGTAGCTCAAAGATAATTCTCGCAGCTCTACAATGCAGTGCTTCTAATTCCTTAAAACCTTCCTTATTTCTGAGACCTCCCCATACTGATATTCCATATACGATCGACGGCACAATAATTCTAAAATACAAGTCTAATAACATATTCTTTGGAAAAAATTTGCCACGTTTTAACAAGTATAACTTATCCACAAAGCCTTTTTTAACGACACTAACATGTTTAGACCAATTTAGTTGATCATCTATCAATACGCCTAATAGACGAGTGTGTGTAACCCATTTGATGGTGTGCTGGGCCAACGTTAACTCTTTCAATGGGCCAGTGAATCTTCCGCGATGGAGGATCATTGCTTCACATTTCTTTGGATGAGGCACAAGGGAGTTTGTTTTGCACCAGTACAGAAGCTCCTCTAAAGCTTTGTTAAGTTCAGAAATTACTGTGTCGATAGAATCGCCAATGCAATATAGCAATGAAATAAATATCGTCATTAACCAGCTTTTATTCGCCAATGCAATATAGCCATGAAATAAATATCGTCAGTAAGTAGCTTTTATTCGCTCCCCCTCCAAATAATTCTGAAAACCAATTGAAAGTATAATTTAAAAGATACAGAGCAATAGGACAAACCTCACGAGGATGTTGCAATACGTGAATCGTAGTCGAGATGTGAAGAAAATGAGTAGGAAAATGAGCGCACAAACACACTGCACGTGGTCTCCTAAAAATAGATGAGAAATTTTAAGAGTTTAAGGAAATCATGTATTAATTTGTACGAGATCTTATAAAATAAAAATTAACTACTATACTATGCTGGGCGTCAATCTTCACATCAGCGACAACGGAAATATCAATAAGTAAGCGTGATGGAAGTTCACTTACTTACACCTCGAACACATATCTCTTTTCTCCGGAGGATGCAAGGGAACATCAGCAAAACTGCGGAAAAAATCGCTTTCATCTTCCCCGTCTTCTTGGTCTGCCATTTTAATTTCCCTGATGGGATTAACCGCTGATCAGCAACCTGACTCTGCAATGATCAACCAGCGGATTCCTCCATTCAAGTTGAGGCAAATTCATGTCAAACATGGCGGCATCCTCGACATCAGGAACTAGAGTATTTGACGTTCTCTTTCCAAAACACGATCATGATTTGATATTTTAAAGATGAAACTTCATCAAGTATTAACAGGTGCGACAAACACATTCGATGACAAGGCTGCAATCGCCGTTGGCAGTGTAGATGATCACCCCTTCACGGTACAGTGCTGTTGAATAATTAAATCACTGCTTTACGGTTTTGATCAGAAAATAATGAATTCAAAGGATGGCAGATGTCAACATATCAATAATGGAACCACTATGGATGATTGCCAATGTTTATTTTATTTTCAGTCTTACAAAATGCCTCGTAAATTGATGTATAAACTGATTTATAGGCCCGTAACCGAATGACTGAAGAGATCGATAATATATAATTTTGAAACTTTGCATTTTGTTACAGTAAGCATTTAAAATGCTATCACATTTCTCAACGTTTATGTTTTTTCAAACGACACTGCCGAAGTTCAGGCAGATCACAGAAGCCCTTAGCACATTTTTTGTGCTTTTGATGGACATGAAATATATTCCATGAACACTGAATTAAGATTATAGCCTCAAACACATGTTTGTTCTTTGTTATCCAAGGCCTATGCATCTGGCTGTGATGTTGTTATCCTGTTGAGTGGCTTCACTCGCGTGCAGATTATTCCTGGTTCTCTGTATGGTTATAAAGAAGTGAGCTGTATTGACTGCTGCGATTCTGATGGAAAGGTATTTTTGTGGAATCAAATCAAAGCAGTGTTACAGTGGAGGGATTTTGAATTGAGTGTTGTAAAAACCAAAACCAAACTAGTCACAATAGCCAATCATAGCATGGAAAATATCACCAGGAACCATTGAGAACTCTAAATAACAACAAGCAAACTTCCTGAAGCACTTAAAAAAGTGTGACCAAGTTGAGAATGATTTGAGTTTTTAAACTGATCGGTTAAGAGAGTGGCACAAGTTGTCTGGAGTAATCAGATTAGAAATAGAGCAAAACCAAAACAATCCAGAATTACTTGTGACACTCAGTTGAACATGCCCTATTTAGTTGATATAGTTTATTAGAGGTTGGTATCCAACAATCACACAGTAGCAAGCCCTGAAGATACAAAGTATGCAGAAAGTTTGGAGAGCATAAAAGAAGCTTTAGAACTGGAAGAAGCTTAGCAAAGAGCAACTCTAGCTTTAACAGTGGTATAAGTGTTGTATGAAGAGAAATTCTCTCTGATACACTTAAATGAGTACACACGCTTGATCTATGCACACCATAGGAATGTAAATTATATTTACACAATTAAATCTGTTTACATGAAGTTACATAATCTTGCTATGTATATGTTGCGATTTAAATTTTTTTTTGGCAGATTGCAGCATCTTATGGAAAACAGGTTATCATATTTGATGCCAAATCAGCAACTGCTAGCAACAACCATGTATGTGTACATACTTACTGTATTTCTTAAGTTTGTTAATTGATTAGGGTTGTAGTTTGCTTAGGGTTAGAATTTGTACTTTTTTTTGTTTTTCAGGGCTTTCCTTTTCATTGGGAAAATTCTTCAGAACTATGTCTAAACTTTAGGATTACCTGTTTGTCCTGGAACAGAGAAGGTATTTCAACTATATTAAAATATTATGCTGTTATTATTATTGTTATTGTCATTTTAACCAACAAGTAGGCCCTCCTTATAAGTAAAGGCTGATAGTTTGGAAAGAAACTGTTTGGGGCTGCGTCGGTGGGAGTAACGAAATAATTTGGATATATCAACAAAGTTGAAATGGTAAATTGGCCACCGTAATGATTACAAAAGCTGACGTTTCGAGTGTTAGCCCTTCATCAGAGCGAGGGGCTAACGCTCGAAACATCAGCTTTTGTAATCGTTACAGTGGCCAATTTAACATTTCAACTTTGTTGATATATCCAAATTACCCCCTTACAAGTGCTGCAGGATGAATACTAGTCAGTCACTAATGAAAACTAAAAGAAAATTCTTGAACTTGATTGGTTGTCACCAGCGGAGTTCAGCACTAATAGGACAGTGTGCGGCCATGCCTGTGTCAGTGACAGAACATGTCACATGCCAGTGTGCATTATGACAGTGTAAAATGACAGTTAAAGGGACAGTTGACATGCCATGCCTGTGTCAGTGGACAGAACATGTCACATGCACTGGCTGTTGTCATTCATTTCACTGAGTTAACGGTTTTTTTTTGGAAAATGGTTAACTGATGTTTAGTTTCTTTCTTGAATTTTAATTGGTAAAGAAACTAAATGTGTCATCTAATTGTATGTAACCATACTTGCGATAAACAAATCAGACTCCTGCTTTGCAGCCATTTGATTTTGATAATCACTTGTGTAACCCATTTGATGGTGTGCTGGGCCA